TTTGAAGTAATATTACGGCAAAGCACTATTAATAATCTTGATTTAGGAGAACACAATACTTATCATTCTAACGCTGCTATCAGTGATGATATACCTACATCAACAGCAAACCAATCTAAGATTCATCTGGGTAAACCAAGTAAACTAGAAACAGCCTAAACCTGCTAGTGAATGACAAATTTGACTAAGTAATGAAAAATTATAATAAGGCATTACCCACTAAAGTCAAGCAACTCTGACTTTGAAAAGATGTAAGCAATAGCAGAAACAAAAGCATTAGTAATGCTAGAGCCCAAAGCTAAAGAGAGCATTCTTAGTTCCTTGAATGAAAGTAAACATCAACCAATAACTTTAATCGATAACATCAACCCACACTCTAACTAACTACAAATAAAACAACAAAAAGCCTAAAATTAAAACTTACTAAATTACTCAAATAGAACATGATGGTGAGATATTCCCTTAAGTCTATTCCTATGAAACAACCTTCACAAAAGACACTTCAAAAATAGTAATGGTGAGATCTGAAAAGATTATTAAATTAAAAAAAAAAAAAAAAAAAAAAAAAAAAAAAACCATGCATCATGGCTAGCTAATTACAACAGTTGTATTATATTTGTGCACATATATTATTAAAGCCAGATAATGTCACATCAATAACAAACTGACCAGATTATATGGAGCATAACTACCAGATTTAGGAACAAACTAACATATACCAGATTCAAAATTAATAAAGTTTCGGGCAAAATTTTATGGATACTCTTCATTAACTATTCTTATCAAGTTTAAGGTTTCAACTGAGCAGCCTAGCTTAAGGATTGAATTTACAAATAGAATCACTCGACCAACGGCTACAGATTGGAATAACTAAGAACTCATACTGTCATACTCACAATTTTCTAAGCCAGATTATTCTAAGCCATGTGACATCCTTCTTATTGAATATACTGAACTAGTATCCATGATAATTACAATTTTCAAAACCAAACAAAGATTATATTGAATCTAAAAATAAGATAAGTAAACCACGTTAATCCGATTTCTTGGTTCATCAGTAGAACCATCTCCAAACAAAACCCCTCAATTCGGGTTCAATTTTTTCCACCAACAAATCCCATATTGCATAAAAATTTAATTAAAAAAGCCTAGAAAAATTAAACCTTGAAATTAAAATTATAAACAAACCCGAGAACAATGAGATGAGCATAGAAAGTTCCACCATGAGAGAATTGTGAGTTCCAGCATGTTCATTAGTGAATTGGAGCTTATTATCACGACCTCCGCCTTCACGCCTTGTAGTGGTGGGTGTAACTCACAATTCGAGAAAATTAAGAACAAACTGACCCGAGAAAATTCGAGATCTAAGACTATATAAAAACGAAAATTTCTAAAATAAAACAAAAAAAAAAAAAGGAGAATTAATACTAGAGAATCACCATTAGCTTTGTCGAGTGAAGGTATGTAACCAAGGCCATGGCAGAAGAATCTCAATGATGAAGAGTTGTGACCTTGCGGCGGATTGAGTTGAAGGAAAGATAAAAGTAGTGAAGGGTTTTCAATTTTAGGGAAACTAAGAGGGATATAATGCGACTATGTTATATTTTAATAATATCCTAATGGATGTGGCATTAATCCGCTCTATTGCAACGGCAAACTCACAACCGTTGTGTTAGGCTCTACTGTTAAGCAACTGATGTATTGGACCATGCTAATGCAACGGTAATCAATGCAGCCGTTGCATTAGGCTTATTTTAGACGTTACATTTGATCGAAAATGTAGTAGTGTTAATTACTCACTTTTCGCGCTTCCTTGAATTGCTACATCATGAATAAACTTTAGTAACTTCAATAAATATATAAATCAAATTGAAACAATTAAATTAAATATAAAGTAGAGTTGATTTGGTCCAAACCCTCAGTTAATTATACTATTTTACGCCTTGGTTTAAGGACAGAACCTCGGGTTAACTATGGACTCCTTAGAGTGCTTAGGGGAAGTATAATGGAAGAATAGGGAGGCTAGTGTTTAAGTTAAAGAGGGAGAAGAGAATGACTTGATGATCAAGCTTGTTGATGATTTAAAAAGGGGTGATGTGACCTCTATTTATAATGAAAAAAGAAGGGTCTAAGAATCAAGAAAAGATAGAATTTGAATCGTAATAAAAATCTTGCGATAGACAACAGTTTTTACGGTTTTTGTGATGTGGACACGAAAAGTGGAAAGTAAGTTATGGTTTAGGGAAATGAGCTAGGAATTGGATTGATTTATGAAATGTATTGAATGGAAATATGGATTAAGCACTCCAAAGGTTAAATACTCAACTCGACCAATAATGGCGGTGAAAGGTGTTCATCATCAGATTTGGTTTTGGGTAGACATTTTTAGGTGTCTACACTGTCGTATGACTTAGATTTGTAAATTTTCTAGATTTTATTAAGTCATATTGATTGTAGTGTTGTCTTGGGGTTTTATAGGTGAAGTTATGAACTTTATGTTTTAGTGGTTGTGAGGTTGTGGAATGGACATGCATGGATATGTAGAAAAAAGTAATTGGCATTCTTATAAGGTTAAAATTTTCTGTAAGTGGTAAGATTTGATGAGAATTGTGAACATAAATGGGAAGTTATTTAATTTACTTTTTAAGTTTTGGAATAGTTAATAAGCATGGAATGCTTCTTATATTTTATAAATTTCTTTATTATAAAATACCTGAAGTGTAATTTTAATTTGATTTAATTTATTCTTTTAATTGTTTTGGAAGCAATCATGCTGCTAATCTGCTACTATTGATTTCATGACTCAATGGTTTCAGTTCTTTAAGGGTTTTGTGTCTTACAGATCCTAATGTTGTAGCTGCTGACTAAGCAAACAGAGAGGAAGTTGATTCTCGATCAGTTTTAGTGGCAATGTGAGTGTTTTTTTTCTACCTGTTACCAGTTTCGTAGATTATTATAGTCACCTAATTGTGTCTCCCCAAAAACAAAACCCAGTGATGAATACCTTTCACGTGATTTGATTATCGAATGAAGTGAAAGTGTGAAAATTCTTGTGATGCGGTTGTTTTAATAAAAATATCTCTTCTTTTTGTTTTCAAAAATGTACTTTATTTATGGAAAATGTCTAGTCCAATTTATTTTGGTCCATAATAAGGGTCTTATAATAGTGTATTTAGATTGGGCTCGAAAAGAGCTTTCCAATGATATATTATAAGCCCAATTTCAATGAATAATGAGGAAGTTATGGCTAAAATATTAACTTGGGCCTAAAATGGTGTTATGGCCCAATGATCTAGTGGAGTGCCCATGAATTGATTTTTCTAAATTTATTAGGATTGATTTTAATCTTCTAGAATAATCTAGAAAGTTGTTTTGAGTTCTAATGAGATTAAGAATAATAATTATATTTTTTATGAAAATAAAGAATTCTATTTGAATTAAAACAAATGTTTTTCAAGAGATTAAAATCTGATTTTAAAAGATAAGTATGTGTTGTTAATTGAATTTAATAAGATTAAGGATTCCGTACAACTTTTTAGGAAATGCGTAAAGCAGCGTGGAACGACAAAGCTAGCGTTGAACGACAAGCCTGTCGCATCGCCCTGGACTCTATTACATCCTACACCTAATAATGAATTGTTACCCGTGTCGCATCGCGCTGGACTCAGTTACATCATGTACATAATAATACAGCATTTTATATCCTTAACATGGTAACAATCAGAAACATCATCAAAAAGACTCCCAATGAATTGTTCAGGGGAAGGAAGCTAAACATATCTCATCTTAGAGCCTTTGGTTGTAAGTGCTTTGTACATAATAATGGTAAGAAAAACCTAGGGAAAATTGATGAAAGAAGTGAAGAGGCTATATTTCTTGGATATGCCTCTAAAAGCAAAGCTTATAGAATTTACAATAAAAGTTCAATGTGTGTTGAGAAAAGCATTCACATAATATTTGATGAAGTTAACCAGTTTGTGAGTGTGCAGGAACAAGAAGAAGATAATGATTTTGAAATTGGATTGATAAGAGATATGGATGAAGAAGATATTCAAAAGAAAACCAAGGAATAGCAGCCTACTCTAGAAGAAAATCCTTAAGAGAATGAAGAAGTTCCTCAACCAGATGTACAGGTAAATGAGGAACCTGCAGAAAAAGAAGAAGCAGAAGGAACAAAACCAAAAGCTCCTCAAATTGGAGTTCTAGAAAGGGAATTTCAACCAAGTCCATTCAAATATCAAGGTTCCCATCCAACTGATCTCATAATCAGTGACAGAAGAAAAGGAACTCAAACAAGATCGCAAATAATGAACTTTTGTGTGTTCCATGCATTTTTGTCCATCCTAGAGCCTAAAAACCATCAAGAAGCCTTGAGAGATGCTGACTGGGTAGTAGCCATGCAAGATAAGCTAAATAAGTTTGAAAGGAACAAAAATCTCCCAACAAAATACTCTTAAAACACCTTAAACCGCACAAGAATATCCCAGCAAAAATCTCAACACAGCTCTAAGAAAAACCCTCTAAAAAAGAAGCATATACCAAATTGAACAAAAATTGACCAGTTTTCATAAAACAATCTTGTTTAATAGCAGAAAAACTCAAAAGATTCTGAAATTTTACAGGAACAGAGTAGACAAAAAATAACCCAAATTCAAAAACAAGAATCACCTAAAAATCATCTGTTATGAAGGAGAACGAGCCCAGAGAAGTCATACCTTCAAACTGACTCTAAACTGTTCCAGTGAGATTCTACTGAATTTACAAAAAGGTATGAACAGATCTTACCTTTGATGGGAGAATTTTAACAACGATTGAGGTAAATTGCATCCTTGCTACTTTAACACATGAGAAGGTGTAGCCATGTAGGAGTACAAGTATGCACTTTAATAAAACAAACTAACGCTAATTTGGTGGAAAAAAAGTATTCTATATAGTGATTTAACAGTGATAAATTACCACATGTTAAATTAAGAGAAGACATACAACCGACAACGAGCATATAGTTATAACTTAACCCATTTTATATCAATAGCATATAAACAAAGAGAAAATTATGTACCTGTCTATAGTAAATGATATCATAGAATAGTAAATTATATCATAGAGTAGTACAACATAGCAGATTATGTAAACATCCACCCTCTAAATTAATGAGTTGACGCTCCCTTTTTCAATAGAACCCCAAAATAACCAGCCTGGTCAAGCTCATCAAATAACCCTTTTTTGGATTGGGAACTTCCTAAATTTATTTCCAGAAATGGCGCATCTTCAAGTTCTGCGAAAATGACAATAGAATGACATAAAACAATTTTTACATTTTTGGAAGGTTTCTTAAGCAAAAACAATAGCACTTATCTATCACTACAAGCACGACAAAAAAAGAAGAAGAGATTTATCACCTGATAATTCCCAATTGTCAAATTTCAAGAGCGAAGTATCAAAACCTATATGAGCAGAAGAAACTTAATCAACCCGCACTATAAATATGTGACCTTGCATATGTTCATAAGACTTCTCCACTAAATCAAAGCAGTGATAACGAGGTTTCTCGACTCCAGAAGCATGGACAAAGGCCCCTGATGAATGCTGATTGTGAAATAACAAAAAGAAAGTAATTGGCTTTGGCATGCAACAAAAAGAAGAGGTCACAATTACTCAACTTTAGACAAAAATTGTAATAAAAAATCCAAAAAAATCTACAATTAAATACATCAAATTATCACAATTACTTAAATTTAGACAAAAAGTGTAATCAAATTATTCGTACCTGAGTTGGAAAAACATTTTCAAGCTTCATCAAAAAACTCACACCTCCTTACTCATCCTTGTAAACATGGTAAACGCCATGACTACTCTAATACATCACTAGAACCACCATCAAAGAACACACAAAGCAATGAGCAACCAAATTTAATTATCACAGAAATTCAATCACATAAATTATAACCAACACCCTCATGAACAAAAAGCAAAGAAAGCAAAATGCCTAAAATCTATCACATAAATGAACTGATGAACATCAAATCCATAATAGTGGCAAAAAGTTTACCCTGCCCCTCTTTCTTTATCTAATTAAAATTGTATATTTGACCATAGTAAGATTAATTTGGCGAAATTCATTTTGATTGAAAATGAAATAAATGTAATTCGAATAAATCAAGGGTAGTTTGATTGAAATTGCTGATATTCGATAGAATTAATTGCGTAAATAATCGATTGAATAATTTGCCCTAAAACTAGAACTTTGAAGTTTCTTTTAATCTGCCTAAAATTCCAATCAAAATACTGAAAGTTGAGCAATATATGATTGAATTATAAGTACAATTTAATTGTATAATTCGAATAATGAATATATACTGCAATTATACTAACAAAATCGAATCAAATTCCTACATAAGAGGAATAATTCGAAACTCACCTATTTAGTGCAGTGGTAACGCAACTGTGCAGTAGTGCAGTGGTGCTTCGGTGGGTGTGGCGGTGCGCCGGTGTGTCGATGACTACGGGCGTGCGTCAGTGGGTGCGGCGGTGGGTTCGGCGGTGCAAAGACTGACGCTTCTTTCAGAATAAATGAAGTGAAAGTGAAATTAGCGTGGGTTACATTATTTCTCTTTCATAAATAAATTAATTTGAGGGTAAAGTAATTCTAATATCTATTCCTTAAATAAAAAAAAAAAGGGACTCTACCATTAATTAATTATTTTTTTTTATTTTGGGTAATAAACAATAGAAAACGGTTATTATAGGTAATCATTCTCTATTTATAAACCCATAAAACGCCTCCAGCAGAAATACGTTTTATATAATTGTAGAGAATAATTTGCTAACCGTTTTGTATTTTGCGATTCTTATTCTAGTGTTTGTAGTTATGTTACTCGACTAACTTATCAACAACAAAAGTTAATTCGAATTTTAGGGCTATTATTAAATAAAGAAAGGGGAAATTACAAGAACCCTAATTCGAAATACTACATACCTTAAAATCTTGATATAGAACCACTATAGCTTAACCCAAATTCGAAAAATCAAAACAATACTGAATGGAGTGAAGGAGAAACTGTAGGAGGAAGGAGTTTTTACCAGTAGCGCGAGAAGTTGGAGCGAAAATAAAAAGTTTGAATCTATTGTTTATTTTCAACGAGAAATTGATTCCTCTAACTTCAATAAAAAATTAAATGAAATTAAATGAAATTAAATAAAATTAATAGGAAGTAGTAACTTAACATTTGTAACTGGCGTTTGTAAGATAGTTACAAAACTTTTAATATTTGTAATTGACGTTTATACGCTAGTTACGAACGCTTTGGTCAAAGTTTCTTTGACTTAATATTTGTAACTAGCGTTTGTAAGCTAGTTACAAACTTTTTAGTTAAAGTTTCTTTGACTTAATATTTGTAACTGGCATTTATTTAGTCAGTTACTGATAAAACTTCAAACAATGATAAACCACATATTAGTAACTAACATTTACTACGCCAGTTACTAATGTCATGAAATTTGTAACTGGCATTATCTTAGTCAGTTACTATTAATGTTTTCGTAACTAGCATAACATACGCCAGTTACTAATTATAAGGCGTTACAAATATCATTTTTTCTACTAGTGATAATTTCCTCTGAAGCATCTTTCAATTTTTTCTTTGCCAATTTTCTGCACTTCTATCGAGCATTCGAAAGGCTAGATTGATTGTTATTCAATTATTATGCTGTGAACTAACCGTACTTAATGCAAGTGCATCAGCTTGTACTCTTGTAGACTCAGTTTTGTATCGCTTTGTAGCAAACATGGTTTTTCATCTTAGGAAAAGTTGATTCAAGGCATCGGGATTGTTAGGTTAGATTATTTGTAATCGTCTTTGGTGTTGGAATTATTTGTATGACCCAGAGATTGTTTTTTTTTTATTCAAACGAGGAACAGGATTCCAAGAGGAGAAAAAACAAAACGAAATTAACAAAACCAAAAACAGACCAAAAAAACAAAAACAATAAATTAAACTAGGGACTAGCCGTGGTAAGGCCACGCCTCTAGAATCCTCCACTAAAATTCTACTAAGTTCTAAAGGGACCGACTCAATTAAATAAATTCTTGTGTCTTGAAAGACTCCGCGGTTGGCCAACCAATCCGCTGTGCGATTGCCCTCTCTATAGATGTGAGCCACTTTAATTCTCCAACTAGCTTCTCGTAGCATCTTTTGGCAGAGAGTGATTTCATGATAACACTCCTTCTAGAGCACCTAAACACAAGCCAGGTTATCTAGCTGCACTTCGAGCTGCTGGATTTGAAGGCTTAGAGCTAGTTTTAGGCCTTGAGTGAGAGCTAACACCTCTGCTCTGAAGGAAATACAGGCTCTAAAGCAAGCTGAAATTGCAGACACGAAGCCCCCCCTGTGATCACGGATGATGGAACCTCCACATGCTTCCCCTGGATTTCCCTTAGCCGCACCATCATAGTTTAACACATACAATCCTTCATCAGGTGCTTGCCAAGAGACATTAATCTGCTGCTTTAGCATTCTGCCAGAACCCATATCTTCTCGTAAACCCAATATGCTTCTCCTAGCTTCATCGTACCTCACTTGAAGGAAAGCCCCCAAATCGATCGGAATTTCATCTTGTCTATTAAAAACAAAACAATTCCTCTACCTCCAAATCCACCAAAGAGCCACCCCAAAGTAAGTAGCCCAATTTTCATCTTCAACTCGGTCTCTGTCTTCGATGTGTTTGGTGATCCATTCTTTCAAATTACCTTGAAAAAATCTGTCAAAGATGGAGGGTGCTAAAGTTTTGCACCATACAACCTTTGCAGTAGAGCAATCTCAAAGAATATGCAAAGTACTCTCCTCTTGAGCTCCACATATATAGCAACGAGGGCTATCTGTGAGTTTCCTCTTAAATCTATTCAGGTTACCCAAGATTCTGTCATGACACGTGAGCCAGAGAAATGCCCTGATTCGCTGCTGAACAGGGGCTTTCCACACAGCATTCCAACTCTCTTCGTCGAGTACATCAGTTTCGTGTCTCATAATACTTAGCATTGATCGAATTGTAAATTTTCCTTGCGAGTTCCCTTTCCAGAAGACTAAATCTCCAATGTTGGGGTCAGACTGCACCTTATAGCTTTGAATAATTTTCAAGCTGTCCTCTTGCAAGTAAGGACTGAAAATATTCCAACGCCATCCCTGTTGCTCTTCCCACAAATCTGCTACGGTTTCCCCTGCCAACTCCATGGGAATCGGTTGAGTGACAAAATTTCTTAGTGGTTGGTCTGTAGCCCAAGCATGATCCCAAAACAAAGTTGTCATGCCATTGCCTATGGCCGATTTGACCCCCACATTGAGGAATTTAGCATTTACCGTTATACCACTCCACACATTGGACATGCCAGCCTTGGGTTCGAACATGTCGATGTCACAACGACCCTTACAATATTTAGCACGCAATACCCTTAACCAAAGAGAATGAGGTTCCGATAAAACCCTCCATCCAAGCTTAATTAGAAAAGCCGCATTGGCTTGTTTGGCCGAATAAATACCTATCCCACCAAGTTCTTTGGGCTTTTGCAAGACCTCCGAAGAGAGGAAATGAACTCTCCTTTGATCTTCATTGCCTCTCATAATGAATTTCCTCGTTTTTTTTATCTATATCATCACAAATCGAACGAGGAATTTTTGCGGATTGCATTGAATAGAAGGACATTGTTGAAATTGTGGACTTTGTTAGTGTCTTACGGCCTGCCAATGATAAATATTTCGATTTCCAACCCGCGAGACGACGATCAATTTTTTCACACAAATGGCTATAAGTAGCTTTGGTCACTCGGCTGGTCAGAGTTGGCATGCCCAAGTAGGTGCCAAAATCCGAAGTAACCTCCATTCCCATACTAGCACATATGTTTTCTTGTAAATCAGCAAAAAAATTGTTAGAGAAAAAAATTCTTAACTTAGGTTTGCTGACCTTTTGTCCAGATGCTGCACAGAATCTTTCGAGGCATGTGTTAATTATTTGCGCTTGGCTCACACTTGCTTCGGCTAGAAGCACAATATCATCTGCGAAAAATAAATTCGACAGAAGGGGACCATCTCTACTAGCCCGTATTGGTTTCCAATTCCCATTGATAATTGATTCCTCAATTACTTGATAAAAACGCTCCATACACATCACAAATAAATAAGGTGAAAGAGGGTCACCTTGACGAATTCCTCTACTAGGCTTAAAGCTCCTCGAAGGCTCACCATTCCATAGCACTTGTAAGGAAGCCGTTGTAATACATTCCATAATCACTTTGATCATCGTAATAGGAAGATTCATTTGTACTAAAGTGTCTCGGATGAACGACCAACGCAAACTATCATATGCTTTTTCAAAATCAATCTTGATTGCCATGTAACCCTTTTCCCCTTGCTTACGCCGCATTGTGTGAATAATTTTTTGCATAATCACAATATTGTCCGTTATTTGACGACCCGGAACAAAACTTGCCTGAGTATTAGATATCAAAATTGGAAGGACCGGTTTTAATCGGTTCATGATCACCTTGGTTATGATCTTGTATGCAACGTTACACAATCCAATTGGACGAAATTGAGATGCAAGTTCAGGTTTATCCACTTTCGGCAGAAGAGCTAAGAAAGTGTCATTAATGTTCTCAGGGAAACCTTTGCCTTCGAGGATAGGAATTATAGTATCATACATAGTATTAGCTATAAATTCCCAATTTTTCTTGTAAAAGAGAGCTTGAAAACCATCCGGACAGGGAGCTTTTTAGGCTGTCATCTCTTTGATTGCATTGTTAATTTCCAGCCTTGAATATTGTTTGGTCAAAAGACTCCAATCTCGTGCTGCCAGCTCTGGAAAAATATCACTAGGAACATCAAATCTGCTAGGTTCACCTTCTTCCATAAATAAGGTGGTGAAATAGTCCACAATGTGATCCTTGATCTCAGTTTTATCATAAAGCCATTTATTATTCTTTCCCTTTAAAGCTACAATCTTATTTTTCCGCTGTCGTACGATCGTACTAAGATGGAAAAAAAGATGTGTTACGGTCACCATTTTTAACCACTCGATGCGAGATTTTTGGTACCACATTGTTTCTTCTTTGTCAAGAATTTCATCTAACTCCCTTCTCAGTTTTGATTCTAACTTGATTAAACCCCTGTCTACACGAGTAGCCAGAATCTTTTGGATGCCCCCTATTCAAGCTTTGAGCACTCTTTTTTGCTTGAATATATTGCCAAAAATGTCTCGGTTCCAGACTTGGAATTTATCTGATAACTTTGACAAAGCAGGCATGAGGGGCGCATTTTTATCCTAGGAAGTTGCCACAAAATCACGAAATTTTTCGTGAGATAACCAGGCAGCCTGAAAACGAAAAGGCCTATGGAGGGATTGCAACAGGGTGAAACCATTCGGAGATATGAATATGGGGCAATGATCAGAATGAATAGCGGGGAGGTGCTTCATTGAAGCACCTTCAAATCTCGTAGCCCACCTATCATTACATAGTGCTCTATCAAGACTACCACTTTGACGAGTCTCTAGAGTCAAACCTCTAGCCCATGTGTGCACTGAACCAGAGAATTCGACCTCTAGTAGTTCCATATCATTTATCCATTCATTGAACAAAGCCGAACGCCGATTGGTTTCTCTACAAGACTTGTTTCTTTCCGAGGGGAAACGAGTGTCATTAAAATCCCCTGCAACTAGCCAAAGTTTTTCATGAGATGCCTCAAAAGATCTTAGTTCATCCCATAATTCACGCCTTTTCAGAGGATCGGGACTTGCATATACAGCAGAAAAATACCGGGGAACCGCACCTCTTCTAGTAATTTCCATAGTGATATGCTGGTTATGTTTCAAAATTAGACTTACAGTAACCAACTCCGTTTTCTAGTACACCCAAATGCCACCACTGAATCCCATAGCATCCACCCTAGAGTGACCATCATAGCCCAGGATTGAAGCTATTTTGGTTTCTTGTTCACCTCCGATATGAGTTTCAACCAATGCTAAAACATTAGGTTGATTAGTACGCACCAAGTCTTTCAATGACGAGATAAAATTACAGTCTCCCGCCCCTTGTACATTCCACACCATACATGTGATAGGTAGAGAGTCCGGAGCCAGATTAGGTAGAGTGTCTTCCATTAAAACAGATGTTTTTGGTAAAATGGTCATATAGGCATCACTGATTAGTCTCAGCAAGCGTTTGATCTCAATGGGAATTCCCAAGGTCATCACCAAATTCGGGGGATCTGAGATTGGTGGTAGGTATAAGTCCATTTGAACCTCCAGAATATGAGTCAGGGGGTTCGTGCTCACCATGTAGGGTGCCTCCAGAGTTTGTCCTATGAATAAGGTCTTCTCTAGTGGGATTCTCAGCATTATCGGGCAAAGTGTCTGCAACATAAGTGCTGGCTGAATTTGTCTCGAGAGTAGCTTGGGATGGCTTGTTAAAGTCTTGTGAGTGCACAGTAAGGTCGTGAGAATTGGCTTCCTTGTCTGCTTCCTTATTAGCCTCAAATATGAATTTAGAATTTTCCTTTCCTTGTGCCTTGGTTGCTATATTTTAGGGAACATAATATTTGAGATTAGAAGGAATCTCTTTTAGTGGGGTAGGAATATTTTGTGAAGATATTTTCTTTTTTTCTTAATAGATTTTGGGTAGGATTTTTTTTTTAATTTGATTGATTTGATAACAAATTCTTTTCCTTAGATTGCATTAGTTGCTCATTATTAGGAAAAAATCCTTGGGAAATATCCCCCAAATTGATAGTTCTAAAACACTTTCCATCATTATCTTTGAAAATATTCAAAATATCTTAACATTTTCCATCATTATCTTTGAAAATATTCGAAATATATTCACCTTCCTTAAAATTCTCCCCAAGAATTTCCAACTCATCATCTTGATGATTCTCCAGAAGCGCAAATCTTGACCCGTTTCCTAGATTGTTGCTAGTAGATTGATTCTTTCTAGCTAAATCTTTGGGTTGATTTTGACCAAAATTTGCGTTGACCTGCACCGCCGCAGCACCACCGTTGGGTTTGACAGGTCCCGGTGGTGGTTTGTTTGGCTTAGCAGATTGTTTTTGCACTGGTTTCTTCACTAACATCCAACTTCCAAATTCCTCTGTTTCCTCTGGCTTTGGGGCATTATCATGGAGTGGATTATGATGAATAGTCATACCATCATGCTCTTGTTAAGCCATAATAGGAATGCACTCACTTTCTGAATGACCCAGCTTCCCACATTTGAAACACACCATCTTGATGCCTTCATATTGAATGCGCCAAATCCTTCCCTTCAACCAGAATTTCGAGAGTAAAGGTTTTGACAAATCGATCTCTACACTAAGACGAGTGAATTGACCTGTTGCTTTATAAGAATACTACAAGAGGGGGGTGAATTGTAGTTTGGAGGAATTTAGCTAACTTTTTGCGGAATTGATAAAACAAAGCTAAAGGAACTTTAAGATAACACAGAGAGATTTTACGTGGAAAACCTCTTGGCCCTAACAAGAGGAAAAACAACGACTACTTGGGATTTTAGGAAAGATTCTTCACTATAACAGGGCAAACAACCTATTACAAACTAATGAATCAGACTTCAAGTTCAACTATGTACTTGAAGTTCCCAGCAGCAAGTCCCTCTACTTGCCACTCTTCTCTTCTCTCTCTTTCTCAACTGATTTCTCTTAGAGTTCACTCAAACTCCCAATTCCCAAATTACAACTCAAATATATATAACTCTAGTGAAAGTAATTAAGAAAAACACTTAAGTGGAATGCGACACTTGACTCTTTTTAGAAAACAAGAAAGATAGAAACATATGATTGAGCAAGGTGAAGTTATCCCAAGAATAACTTCAGTATTTATAGGAAAACATTGCTTGGGAAAAAAACGCCACCACTCCTACCACTTGAGCCACTACTACTGCATATCAACGCCACTACTTTCCACCACTTCCAGATTTTAAATCATGTCCTAAAAACCAGGACATATTGATCCTCTTGAAGCAGCTTGTACGCAAGTGGTGAAGACTGAATCTACAGTTAGTTGCACAAGTTTAGGAAGTTAGTTTTCCAAAGATATTTTTCTGAAATAAAAAAATATAAATTAAAAGATGAAACAGAAAAGATTTTTTCCAAAACCGTTTCCTATTTCCAAGCAATCTAACAAATTCTATCTTTTTGACAAATTCAAAAACGCATTCCACTAAGTATTAATTCTTAATTAAACTCACTTACATAAAACCTAAAATATATAAAATATTCTAGACTTTAGTTTCTCTAAGAAGTCTCTTCTCCGAGTCTTCCTTCCTTAGCCTCTGCTCCGAAGCTTCAGATCCTTTACAGGAACACTGCAACTAATCTCTTTATTCTTTTAGCTCTAGTTCCCTTGCCTCAACTTATTCCTGCAACTTGTAATGAATAAACTACAAAACTCATTAAGGCATTAGTCCATTTTATTTTACTTGTGTTATCATCAAAACATCAAGGGCAACATGACCTCTCTCTGCTTGAGCCGTGGTTTTGTCAACCCTTAAAACCTTTCCAATCTTCGAACTGATTTTGTTCAAAAAACTGACATCAAAGTATTCTACTGGAAGACTTGGTATACGAACCCATACAGTCAATACCTTGATTGGTGATTCATCCGGAACAAAGTTTGGTACCCATTTGCGTATAGTCAGATAATTGTCATCCAAAAGCCAAGGCCCTTGTGTAAGCACATAGTTGTAATCAGCTATATTGAAAAACCTTGCAATATAATAATTGCATCCAATATCAGTGAGGGCCAATTCTCCTCTGATGTTCCATTTCTTCTTCAGTCGTCGCATGAGTCCCATGTAGCCTAACTTACCACTGAACATCTTAATGATGAGTGAGTGCTTCCACGGTTGCCTAAGGATTCATTTTTCCTCTTTCGATAAATGAATTACCGGACATCTGTCATCATTAAACACTTCTTCAGGGATGAGTTCATCATCAGATATGTCCTCGTCATCATCAGAATCATTTCCCATCACCAAGTATGAATTACCAGGATTGGTTTTTCCATTTTGCAGCATATTGCTGAAAGAGGGGGCATTGTGTTGGTGGATACCCTTCTGATGAGGAGCCTCATTGACTCCTTTATCAGCATCTGCCATTTCCTCATCATCCTGGAAGGATTGGTTCTCTCGATTGGAGATTTCATGTGTAATTTTCCTCTTAGGTTTCTTATTGGATCTAGCAAATTGATCTCTTTCTTCAGTAGTTTTTTGGTTCTCATTCGGGTTTCTTTGGTTTTCCATAGAGAGAGAAACACTCTGTTGAATTATGGAGTATGTAGTAGTTACTTATTGATGTGAAATATGACCCAGAGATTGTAAGCAGTAGTGAATTCATAAAAACCAAACATCTGTTCTTCCTCTTGGATCATCTGAATAAATACATCCATTTATTATTTCCATAGCTGCATTATAATCACATAAAGTCGTTATATTGCTGATATGTTGATTCAAATACAAATACAATTATTAAAGTAAACAATAAAAATGAGAAAACTTGTCTGCATCGTTTCAGCTTTTGCACCTTAGCCCATGCTATATTGCTGCCTACATTACTATAATAAGTTAAGAACATAATATTCAATTCACGAGAGACTGAAAAATCTCACTGCTACTTCGTACCCTCTGACAATGTTGAATTTCCTCAATAAGCCGTCATAATAATTTTCCTAATTATCAAAATTTGCCAAAACAAATGTACTATTACATCATAATTAAGAAAAGAAAGTTAATGTACATATACTCCGTGTGGCAAGAGTTATTTAAGAAATGAGTATTATTTGGCAATAGTGCAATACACAAAGTTTCACGTGGCTAGCCACACAGTGTGCCCGTGTGGCAAGAGTTACTTGATTAGGGATTATTTCGTCAGTCAGGATTAGAGTATGTCAACCGGCCACATAGAAACACGTTGATTATCGATATGGCTTTCTCTAATGAAACAAGTGGCCACATTACATGTAGAGTCTGTTCACATTTACTGAACTGAGCTGAACTGAACTGATTGGAGCTGAACTAAGCTAAACTGAACTGATTGGAGCTGAAGTGAGCTGAAATGAATATTTTATGAGAGAGGGAAATTAGGAGCTGAACTGAACTGAACTGATTGGAGCTGAACTGAACTGATTAGAACTCAACTGAACTGAAATTAAATAAATGTGAGAAAGCCTGTAATTAGATTACATCTTGAAACCATATTATATAGGTGCATGCATATGCTTATAAGTTAGCCACCGTCCCTTTTATTATTCAAAGTCCCAAAACACATATGGCGTATTGGCCCATATAGGTTATATAATTGTATATTTTAATATTAACAAATCATTTTATAGAATTCTTTTAATTGATCTTATACAAGTAGATAAAGACTCTTGAGACCTAAAAACAATCAAGTAGATATATAAAAAATATAAAGATAACAAAAGTTTTATAAACATATTACTCCGTACAATTTTCCTATATACACAAAACTACCAGAAAAAATGTATCCACAATAATACTTGCAAAAATAATCCAAAATGGCAGAAAATAATTGTGTTTGGCTTATACTGCTAATTCTTGTAGTGGCTATTCCTGGAGTTTATTTCTTTGTAAAATATCATGATAAGCTTCATAAACCCAACTCCATTACAAACAATATCAACTTTAATGCCACAGTATCTCTAGATGGAGATGGGGATTTCACTACAATCTCAGAGGCTATCCTCTCTGCTCCATCATACGCCTCGTCGCGGTTCTACATTCGGGTTTGCTCTGGTGTGTACAATGAAGTTGTGATCGTACCTCAAAGCAAGACTAACATTGCATTAGTTGGGGATGGAGCAGAAGTCACCAAAATAACAGCTAATCGTCGGATTTCTGAATTTTCAACTTCAGAAACTGCCACCTTCAGTGAGTATATGTATATCAGTTTATTGCTGTTCATCCTGTTTCTTGATTGGGATTATTTCTTTAGTAACAATAGATGAATTAATCGTGTTTTGATTGATATCGAGTTTTGTGATATTAGTATAAAAATGCTCAGATTCTACAGAAAAAAAGGTAGCAATAAGCAGTTTTCTATGTTCTGTATACTGAAGAATCTGATGCACTTGACAAAAATATGCTAATATCTTCTGTCACAGCAGCCTGCTTTAATTCGTAAAGCATATAAAATTCATTATATGGGTTTCAATCAGATTGATTTTGTTTTAAATTGGTATGTAATACACGAAACGGAAGCTGCATTGACAAGTCTTCTGATTCTAGCAGGATTACTTTTTTACAGTTGAAAGCCAATTTCATATGCTGCATAACATTAACTTTTTATTTTCAAGTAAAGATGTTATATACTTTATACAATTCATTATATGTTGTAATGAGCTGTAATTTAGCATACTTTATGATATGATAGGTATGATTGTGTTTGTGTCTCCTTTGTTAATTTGTCATGTTAATTTACAAGCAGAACATTTTAGTTTATGCCCGTGTTAATACGATCTTGTACATGGAAATGCAGCTGTTTTAGGTGATGGATTCATGGCACAAGACATAGCTTTTGAGAACAATGCAGGAAGTGAGAGTGGGCAAGCAGTAGCACTTCTATGTTCTGCAAACCACGTGATTTTTTACAGGTGTAAAGTCATAGGGTACCATGACACTCTGTATGCTAAACAAGGTAGTCAATTCTATAGAGAGTGTGACATCTATGGAACAGTTGATTTCATCTTCGGATTTGCAACTGCAGTTTTTCAGAAATGCAACCTCTATGGCCGTGTATCAGAATATCTGATAGTAACGTACACAGCACAGGGAAGACAGTCCTTAGATCAGAATTCAGGATTCACACTGCAGGGCTGCAACTTTACATTAGCACCCGAGGATGGGTTAAGGACCAACATAAGTGGATTCCTAGGTAGACCGTGGTTTCCTTACTCGACTGTCATGGTAATGGAATCGTTCTTGGATAGGTTAATCAGTCCTTCAGGGTGGGAAAAGTGGCCTAATACAACTGATTCGAATGCAATCTACCTCGAGTACAGAAACTGGGGACCGGGAGCTGATACGAGTAGGAGAGTAAAATGGTCAGGTTATAAGGTGGTAGAGGATGCAAGTGAGGCATTGCCATACACTGTTTCTCAGTTGATCCAAGGAAATGAATGGATCCCTGCAACAAAGGTTCCATATGATAGTGAATTTCTGTCATCATATTAACAGAACAATGCATTATTTTACTGTTCGTCTAACACTCTAACTTATTGATCTACTTCTGTCAAAGAAGGCAAAATTATATAGTAGTAGGTAGATTTTAGTCATAGGTCAATATACAATTATTAGGTAGTGGGTAATTAGTTAGGCTTTGTATTGTTTCTTTGTTAAAAAAGGCAAAGAAAAAAAATATATTCAATTTTTTATAATTGTTCACAATTAATGTGCCACACCATTTATCTTCATTTGAGAATTTCATTGGAAATTTTGATTGGGGTTTATTGACACTACTGGTGTATGAATTCTAAGTTGAGGAAAATTGGACTACTTCTTATGTTCCAAAATAATTGTCACGTTTGACTTTTTAAGGTAATTTGTTTTTTGTTTCCATTTTTTTTTTTGGAAATTTGAGTGTATTTTGAACTTATATACTAGTAAATATAAACAACATTAAAATAAAAACTTGTTAAATCGGTTACGCCATATATCTTTAACAAATCAAAATTTAACAATATCTATTAATAAGTAGGCATATTTGACCATTCAAAGATTTATTGTATACCCGGCAACAACAAATGGCAGAAACCTTACAATGGACAAAAAAATTACTAACTACATCTTTTTATTTCATACAATAATTTTGGTCTCTGGAAGCATAATTAAGTAAAAAAAGTTAAGTTTTATTACAAGAAAACTACTCCATATTAAGACTCATACAACTACAATCACTGAATCACACAAGGAATACACTTAAACTTTATACATTTATATTTGCTACTCACCTCCTCCTTCTACCTCTTTAGAACTGTTCCATCCCTAATCAGTTCAACTTTATAAGTTACTACGATATTAAGTGGATTAGTCAATTTATACTTAAGCAAATGTTTGGTTAACAAAGGAAGTAGAAATTCACGTGAATTTGGAATTTGTGGGAATTTAATTGCTTACTTATCTTTTCATAAAAATTTCTATTTACCTAAGAGGAGCTAGATAATTAAATTCCTACATTGTGTGGGAATTGAAATTAATGTAGGAATTGAAATTCTTAGGATTTTCTACTTCCCCCATTTCACCATTGTTTTTATCAACCAAAAAATTTTCAATTCCCACATTTCTTAATGTCAACCAAACAACACCTTAGTTTTTACAATGACAGAATTAGTAAAGAGATTGTAAGCACCATGTTAACTTAATAAAACACGACATCTTATACTCAATAGAAAACCAAAGAAATCCATAATACTACTTTGCAGGTATTATTTGTGAAATATAAAATATTCCAAAGTTAAAAAAAAACGGAGGTAATAGATAAAATCAAGAATTTGCTTAAAAAAAAATAAAATCAAGAATTACGCTCGGATCAAACACTGGTTATCATCTCACCAAGGTCCTTTCCCTTATGGGTAAGCAAAAGTAGAGGGCTAAAACGTCAAATGCCCAAAATTCCCGCTCTAAAACTCTGCCACGTAAAACTTGCAATACACATTACACGGCAGTGTCAATTGAAATGTCACTCAAAACAAAAACCAACTCAAACATTCAATTCACCTCACTTTCTCTCTCCTGAAGAACCTCCATTAAAATGACTCCTGAAGGTCTTCTAGCATCAGCAGCAATAAATATAGGGTTAGCAATGGCGGTCCTCTGTATTTTCTCCATTCTCAAGAAACAACCTTCCAATTCCTTCATTTACTACGCTCGTCGTCTCTCTCATCAGCAACAACCGCTGTCGTTTGATCGCTTCTCGTTTCGCCGTCTTCTACCTTCCGTTTCGTGGATTCCTCGCGCTCTTCGTGTTTCCGAGGACGATATTCTCACCAATTCTGGCCTTGATGCTCTCATTATCATCCGTCTCTTCAAATTTGGGTATCTTACTATATTTTTTCATAATTTAATTTCATTGCTACATTTTCCGGATTTCAGTGGTTTGTTTTGTTGTAAATAAAGGAGTAGTCTATTACAAATAGTATAAAAATATTAAGCAAGACGGGAAAATTGATCTCACAAAAGTAGGAAGAGTACGGTGTGTCAGTGAAATTCACCGACTTGAAAACGAAATTCCGACGCAACTGGGGTGCTCAATTGGGTTCGTCGGCACGTTCCCTGAGGTTAACACACCACTTCCACTCAAAGGCACTTTTGGGTGGAAGGTTCCAAGTAACTTATGCCCAATATAGAGTATGTGTTTAGCTTGTGTTTTATATGTATTTTTTTTAAGTGTATGAAACATAATAAAGACATCTTCTATTTATAGAAATGTATAGAAGAAGAATCCCATCAAACGTAATTAATCACCTTAAATATTCTCATAAAAAAGGAGGGGTTATAAGAGTTACACAAGAGTATAACCAAGGTGATTAATCTCCTTAAACTTCCACTTAAAAGAGGTGTTATGAAAATTATTTAAGAAATTAAGAATGAGATTTAACGTCTTGAATTCCCTTTCTTTATTCTAATATGTTTGATTATATTTTCTTCACTATAGTTTTGTTTATGATTTTTTTTTTATTACGGAGTAATTTTTTTATTTATTTTGTTGGAGTCAGATAAAAAATTTGTGAAGGTGTATGTATAAAAAAAAAAAATACAATGCTGTGAGTTTTTAAATGAAATTTTATGAAGGAAAAATTGCAAAAAACCCACCTTTTATAACACTTTTTTTTTTTTTTTTTTTTTTTTTTTGTGAAAAAATACCTTAAAAAAATATCTATCGTGGTTGATGTGTTTTGCGAGTGTGGAGTATAAGAAGCTCTTTGTCTTGACCAAAAAATGATGTAATTTCAGGTCAATGAAGCTCACATTAAATCCAATTTGTGATTGTTGAAAACAAGAAGGTCTAAATTAAAGAATGAGACAATCTTTTTAGATAAAGTGATGAACACTAAACTATTGGTGGTAATCAGGGAAATATTGCTATTTGAATATGTTCACTGTTTTGTGATGAATAGTTGAGCTTCTTCAGATATTTTGCAGCTGACCTCATTTCTTTTAGTCAACAAACACATAAAGCCAACTGCTGGAGATGTGTAAGAGTTAATTGTCTCATATGAAACATATAATCGTAAACTTATATTGATATATGATGATTCTATGATCTCCTTGTTTAACACAAACAAAAAGCATTTTACCATGGAAACATTTGGTAATTTGGTACTACTAAAAGAATGAATATGGATTATTATTATGATCTGCTTTTGGACTAATATGCTTGCTAAATGATGTCAAATTTAAAGGGTTTTCCGCATTACATAATTTGTGCTGTGTAGTTTCTAGTGTTACCCATAATTGTTTGGGGTACATTTTAGGTATGGTATGTCTTCTCTATTACTTCCTCCATTCTATTAATATTGCATCAATGGACTTTTTGCACTATTCATCACTCTTGTTTGAACATATAATATGATTTATTACGTTAAGCAAAATATAGTCATGTGGGATCTTCTTGGATTTGTCTCATAAAATACTTTCACAATATCAACTTTTTATAATGTTTACTCTTACACAATTATAGATATTTAGTATATAAAATGTGCTTTGGGATGCGTAATTTCATCCTTGTTGCAATATTAATAGAACTGATGAAGTATATCTTACTGGTTAGTTCTAATGTTCGATTCTTGTAAGAAACTTTTTACTATTATATTACATCCTTTTCATTGTTATTTATACGGTGATCGCTTTTTTGCAGTATCAGATTTTTTGTGGTTTGCTCTGTGATCGGGTTGCTAATACTTCTTCCACTCAATTACTATTCCGAGTCCTCACAGTCCAACCATTCACATTACATGAATTCGTTTACCATATCAAATATCCAAGCAGGGTCTAATAGGTACAGAATATATGCTCTCCTTCATCTTCGGCAAAATAATGTATGAGAGTAATTGATTGTCTTCATTTCTGCTTCTTAGAATTTTTACCTTATTATCTTGGTTTCAGCTTGTGGGTGATTTTAGCATATGATTTTTTGTAGTACTTATCTTTCACCTTCTGTTTTTTCTTTGTACTATTTTTTGGCAGGTTTTTTGCCGTTTCTTTTTCTTTGTAGATAATCATGGACTGCATTTCTTTTAAACTACTTAATTCGAAGTATTATATCTGAAATTGAAAAAGTCTACTTGTTTTTTTTCTCTACAACTTTTCACTTACTCTTGTAGTAGACATAAATCTTAATACAATGAGTAACTTGCATTGTTTTGCATCAATGACATAGAGTATGAGTTTAATTTTCTTCTATATCTTAAAAGAGGACTTAAGAGTAAGGAAATTGTATTTATGAAATGGTAGTAACTTGCATTGTTTTGTCACTTTTTTACTTGCAGCCTTGCAGGCCTGTTTTTGAACTTTAAAGATCCTTTATGGATAAGGGTTTTTTCCACCCCATTAGCTGCCATATCATTATATAGTAATATGCTACTCTTCTTCATGTCTTTGTCTGAGGACATTACTACAAGTGCGTAGGGATAGAAATATCTTATGGATGATCTAAAACCCCAATCACCTAGTTAAATATTATGGAGGAAAAGTGGGTGAGGATGCAGGTCGGATTCGGGTAATCTATTTTGGTCCATCACCGGTTTACCACCCATCCCATTATATGTATAAATTTAGGGTCAAATGAGAAGTTCCTTAGTATGAGAAGGATTTTATATTTTTATGTGCATATATTTTGTACTGAATGTGCATATTTTTTGAACTAAATGTGCAAAAAATATTATGACTTAAATTTGTTGTGCATAAATTTTGAGCATAATGTGCACAATTTTGATTTTTCCAGAAAATTCAATATATTCTACTTTAGACATGATATGGTAGGGTCTAGGGGTGTAGTTCTAAGTCTTTCTTATTTTTTTCTGGAAGAAATAATTGTATATAAGGAAGATTATGTTTCATTAATTATACATTATGCATGTAAGGTTGAAATTTTTTATGATTCTACATTTGGCCCCTTTTGCCTCCATTAGTTGGTGTGTTGTGACAGGTCATTGGGGCTAATAATTTGTATGATATGCTTGGTATCTGTTAGGAATATAGGAAAATATATTATTTTGATATATTTTCCATATATATCTCATAATATTATATTTAGGAAAATAATATATCTTAGTGATATTCTAAGATAGATTTATGGAAGTTTATATGATAGAGTTTATATTGTGTAGGTTATCTTTTTTAGGCTATAAATAATAGCCAAGATCATCAATACAATTCAAGCTATTCTCTCATAAATAATTTTTCATTGTATCAAGAGCAGGTTAAATCTTGGGACCGTTCACACAAATACTCCCCCTTGCCGGTGGGTTAGAATATTAAACCCACCGGTGGGATTCATAAATTTGCTTCCGCTATGCAATAGTATTGCTCTTTGATATTTCTATTTTTTTTATTTAATCTTTTTTTTTTTGGAATAACCATGTGATACGTGGGTTATTATTGGTGTATGTGATCAATATGAATGATCATATGTGATTTGGTTAGGTTGTAGTGTTTGAGTGTGCTTCCTCCATTATTGCATCTCCATGGAGATGAAGAAAAGCCACGTTTGGCGTATTATTTATTATTAAAAAAAAAATGCTAAAGACCACGGACACCAACGAAGGGCCTAGCAAAGAAGATCACGGACACCAGCAAAGGGTCGTGGAAAAGAAGATTACGGACACCAGCAAAGGGCCGTGGCAAAGAAGACCACGGACACCAGCAAAGGGCCGTGACAAAAGACCACGGACACCAGCAAAGGGCCGTGAAAGAAGACCATGGACACCAGCAAAGGGCCGTGGTAGCAAAAGTTCGTTTTTTTTTTTAAATAAAAATTTTTTTGAAGGCGACATCAACATAGTAGTGCAACTCAATCGACTTCAACAAAGTGCGACTTTCCAATCGTAACGTTCGTGTTACTGCCGTTATGATTGCGGGAGGGTGTTAGGAATATAGGAAAATATATTATTCTGATATATTTTCCATATATATCTCATAATATTATATTTAGGAAAATAATATATCTTAGTGATATTCTAAGATAGATTTATGGAAGTTTATATGATAGAGTTTATATTGTGTAGGTTATCTTTTGTAGGCTATAAATAATAGCCAAGATCATCAATACAATTCAAGCTATTCTCTCATAAATAATTTGTCAGTATCACTCCATTCTCAATGACTTTATTATATTGATGGTAGCTTCTGAATGTGATGTTGAGCTTAATGTATAATATTATGATAATACTATACCCTCATAGATGTTGGATACTCATGATTTGGAACCATTAAAGTTAATTTTCCAAGTATATTCACAACCTCTTTTACTTCTATTAACAGGCTGTGGGTCCACTTTTCTTGCTTATGGCTCATATCCTTGTATGGATTGTATATGCTGTATAAGGTGAGTTTTGCACTCAATATCAATCACTCTATGTGTGTGTGTGTGTGTGTGTGTGTATAAATAGAACCACAAGGTGAGTATTGCTTGATTAGTACTAGTAATTGCCTTTTGTTGGACGGACAAATGTTCATAATATAGATTCCAAAGTTATCTAGAATTTAGGTTCTCCTCCGTTATATTGGGAGTTGGTATCATCATGTTAAATTAGAGGTGTCTTAGAGCATCCTAAACATGAAAGTGGAAAAATATGCTAATATTATTAATCTATTGCACTGCTTCCTCCTTTTCAGCTTTCAATTTCTAAACTAGTTCTTTCTGCTTCTAGTATTATCATTGGGTTGGGATACAGTAATGCTGGGATATTGGCCTTAGTATTTCATCACTACAGAGAAACGGTTTAAAGAAAACTTGATATAAGAGTTCAGGCACATTTAAGTAGGTTTATTAAGGGCTTATTCATTTTAACTCAAATAGATGAGAAATTTCAAGTGGAAAATAATGAATCTGTTAAACATGCTATCACTTTGCGAAATTTTTTTTTGATTCTATCGCGAAGCGTTACAATTTGACATATATTTTGAATTTTGAAGGTGATTGAAGAATTTAAGAGGAATTTAAATATACCTTGAGTAACATCTGGATCATTTTGTTGTTGTTAGAAAATGTAAATTTATCATGTTTTCCTTAATAAAAGTATGCATTTGTTTTTTTTTTTTTTTTTTTTAAAATTCATTTTATTAACCTCTGGAATTGAGGGGGGTGAGGGTGGGGAGGAGTTGTGGAGTGAGTGTAATTAGGTATTATGAGGATGACAAATCTCCTTAAAAGATAATCTTCCTCTGTTCAATCTTTTGCTAGCTAAAGAATATTTGAGAAAGGAAACGTCAGTCATCCTAATCAAATGATAGGACTTGTTCTGTGATTTTTGCTAGCATGGAAAGAAACAATTACTAAAGGGAACTCTATGTGGTTATGCTTATTAGGTGCTTCCAATAGCACTATCACTTATAGATTGTATTAGCACACCTCAAACTAACTATCATAATATGGGCTAATCAAGGGTAATTATCAAGATGTGAGAATGTGTTGGTCTAATCACCTTAATCTATTGAAAGTTTTTCTAATGTAAATTCTAACTTCCGGATTTGCTAAATTTAAGCTTAATATCTGAGGAGCTAATGAGTTGTAGATCTAATTTGATATGTTGAAAATTGACTATACTGACAAGAGTGACAACTGACAATGTGACTCATAATATTATTCACACTTCTACATACTCCGGTACTTTCTCTGCTTCTCAATAGATGCATCATATTCCTGTTTGGGATGCTTCACAATAGATGCATCATCTCTCTTTTTAGTAAGGTTCTGTGTGCGCAATTACTATTTTAGTATCTTATCCTCAAAATAAGTGGAAACCAACTCTCCACACCATAGTTAAAGTTCATCACATGGGAAAATATGTAAATCACGCCACTATCTTTCCTTCTTATTGGTTTGCGTGCCATTTCTCTATGATGCATCAATTTAAAAACGGATGAAGTATAAGCTTAACCTTGTCAGAACGAAACATTTTCAGCCACTCTTGAAGGTAATGGGACTGATGAGATCTGTACTGGAGTTATAAACCTGGTTTATGAGAGGGACATACTTTCCATGCTCAATGTGAAAAAATTTCGTAAAAACAATGTTCTTTTTTCTATTTTTGAATTACCTATGAACCAGTGATGTCAAGACTAACGTTAAACCTTTCTAATATGCAGGAATATAAAGAGATTTTGGCTAAAAGAATTCTATGGCTTCAAAAGTTAAAGGATAGACCAGATCACTTCACTGTTTTAGTTCGAGAAATTCCACTTTGCCCTGAACATAAAAGCTATGGATGCAGTGTACATCACTTCTTTACCAGACATTATCAACATGCTTTTCAGTCCCATCAAATGTTGTATGATGGGAGGGATCTTGTTTTGCTGCAGGTAAGCATTATGAGGCGTCCATTAATTGCTATTTTCTTGAATATATCTATACTTTGTGCACCAATTTGCAGCTGCCTATAGATGAGACATGGAATCAGCATTTTCTGCAAAGTGTTTGGCTACCTGCCTAATGTAGGCTATTTATATATATAAGACTTGCATTTTTATTTTAGTTGTCAATATTTCTTATAAGTAGAAAGTAGAGAGGTATTTAATGATTTTAATCCCACATGGTCAGATATTTAGTCCCCCATGTTTAAGATTTACTTCAGCTGATATTTAGTTTTGATGTGGTTTTAATTAGGAGGCCTATTGAGTGGTGATCAATGCCAAACAGTTTGACCTCCCCCCCCCCCTCTCTCTCTCTCTCTCTCTCTCTCTCTCTTTTCCTTCTTCTTTTGTTTCCTTTTTCCTTTGTGGGACAGTATTACTTTCTTGGGGTTTCTCTGGAGTTATCTTTCAATGGTGTGAAATCAAATATGGCTAGCTCAATTTAGTATCACTTATATTCCTTGCAAGAATCTTTTTCTTTTGTTTTTGTGTCTGATCTTAGAGAACTTATTAAAATATCTTAGGGAAAGATATTATTCAATTGGCTAAATCACAAGTACACCAGGGATCGACGTTCAATAGGGATGTAACCCCTAAATGCCATCTCCTCCCTATCATATGTAATTTACTCTCAGGGGAAAAAAAGTTAAATTAGTTGGACAAATGAATAATATTTGAGTTGCTTCAAGCTACCACTCTTGTTCTAATATGGGAAATAGATTTGGCTTTTCTTTCTTGTAAAACAATTAGTATATCAAATAATCATTGCCTTGTGTAGGAACAAGCAGCCTTAATACAAAGAAAGATACAATGGTTGCGAGAGAAGTCCATGAGAAGGAAGTCTAATCAGAATGATTCACTTTCTGAACCTTTGAGAGGAGATGCCTCAAAAATCACTTTTCTGGAGGAAAAACTTTGCAGAATATGTGGTGCTATAAGTGGTATGCAGTATGAAACTATGCTTCAGAAAATGGTAAATTAGCTTTGTAGTGACAGTTTCATTTATTCACTAAGTTTAGACATTGTTATTGTTTGCCGTTCATCGTAACTTGTTTGGAGCCTTTATGGTCATACTTTCTAGTAGGATAAGATAGATGCATACGCTCTTTAGTTTTTATCTTCCCAACCCCCTTTCCTGATTTATAAGTGATGAAGTATCTTTGCGTGTGTGTCTTTGTGTATGTATAAACACAACCATTTGGTCTTTTAATCATATACATGTAAGTATAAATTTAAACATGAAGACATGCATGTACATGTTTTGGGCTAAAGACATTAATGTTTGTTAACCACACTACTTTAAACTGTTAATTTTTGTAAAAAATGGTTTCTGAGCAAAGGAGGGAGTGGTTTTGATGGTGAGTTGTTGATGGTAGAGAGAGCTTGAATAGAATGTAAGTAAGGAAGAGATTGTGGTGGTGGAGAGTGATAGAAAAGATATGAAAAGGAATAAAGGTAGTGGGTGACTGGGTGGAGGGTTATTCTTTTTTCTTTTATTTTTACAAATGAAAATTTACACTGCCTGCCTCAGACTATTATCGGAATAGCCCTTACTCTGTCTTTAGTTGTGAACATTTTGAGTATGCTCAAAGTTGGGAATAATAATAGATGGCCAAAATTGAGATTATTCCTGTTTTTTTTTTTTTTTTGGTGTGCCCTTGCATGCGACTTATGTTACTCGGACTTGGGTATCCATGTCCGATACGGGTACGTGTCCAAGTGTCCGACTCGGGTATTTTTGAAAATTTTCCCTTTCTTCAACTAAAATGGAGTGTCTAAGTGTCCTGTCCATGTCCGAGTGTCGAGGGTCCGACATTGTGTGTGGAATTGAAAGCAGCTATCTTACTTAATCCCTTTTCCTGTCCATGACCTCCATTTATGTTGTGCTAAGTTTGGCTCAGTAAGAATTTTTTTTTTATTTTAGGAGTTGCCTGCTGCTTTTGTGACATTTAAATCTCGGGTCGGAGCTGCACTTGCTGCACAGTCCCAACAGCACCCACATCCTTTCTTGTGGATTACAGAAGAAGCTCCAGAACCTAGAGATTTGTTATGGAAAAACTTGTCAACCCCTTCTCGGAGGTTGCTGTTGTACAAAATTGGGTTCTATCTTGCTGCAACACTTCTTACAATTTTCTTTGCTGTGCCGGTAGCAGCTGTTCAAGGAATAGCAAAATTTGAAAGGCTGATGAAGTGGTTCCCTCCAGCTATGGCCGTGCAGTTAATGTGAGTATTCTTGTTTCATTGTGCTATCTATGAACTAGCTTAATATGGAAATTGGTATAAAAATCCATAGCAATTGTTTTGGGAAGACTCACAGTCTCACATGTCAATGTGACTGTGATCAGGGTTACTTAATGTGTAGTACACTTCAGTATGTGGAACGAATATGAGACCTTTATGATAATTCAGCCCAAAAGTGTTCAAGAGTATGCGTTCCAAATGTTAAATTTGCAAGGGGAACCAGAGTATTAGGTAACACTGTGTGTGTTAGACCGTTCAAATTGAATTCTAAACATAATGTTGAAATTAGTCCATGTGGCGAGTGAAAAAAAAAAATCCAATTCTATATTTTTTCTTTCTTGCAGCATTTTGCGAGAATATTCAATGTCTGATTCTGAACATTTTAGGTAACATATATATATAGGTGTAATTAGCCTTGTAAGAATTAATGTTTGGTTAAGAGCGGGGGTTAAAATTTTTGGACCCATTATTGTCAATTCACTTTGTATTATTTGGAACCATTCTTCTTGTTTTGAGATAAGACTTATGATGCTAGAATATCAGTGAACCCCTCCTTAGGAAGGATTTGGCAAATGTAGTAACAGAGAACAGTTTTTAGTTTTTCATTTCCACTTTTCTTTTTCATCTGCAGGCTTAGGGGGTAGATCCTTGTTACATATTTTGTCTCTGCCTTATGTTATGGAGAACTTCATATTATCTATGAAAAAAAACTTTGATAGGGTGAACATAGTTATTCCCAATAAAACCATTAAGTTTATCTTTTTTTTGTCACTTAAAATCTTAGCTTCATTGCAGCAATGGAGAGGCATGTACAATTTAACATTGATTTATTATTATTACTTCAGGCGTAAAGAATATCGATTTGAAAGCTTCTTATCCATTTCAAGTGAATCCATTTTTTTCCTCAAGTTTTTCTGTAGAATAGAAAGGATAGGTGCCTTGGAGTTTTCATGTCTAGGATATGTATGGATGGATGGTTGATAGGTGATATTAATGGTGGGCAAATGGAAGGATACACTATAAAGGCAATAGCTCCTATTGTTAACTAGTGCATCATAAGTTTGAATGAAAGCAAAATTCAGTAAATCAGAATTTTGAATTATTAATGTGACCCCTTTATTTTAAGCAAAGCACTGATGATAAACCTAGAGACTTAGGAATCCTATAAGCCATAGGAAATAAACAAATATGTGGATCTAACATAATCTCACACACCTAAACATAATGAAAATATCTAAGTTTATAAATCATTCTATATAGTTGATTTAGCTACTGAACTTGAATTAAAAGGCCTTACATGTAAAACTCACACTTTAATATTATGGCAAAATCATGTTAGCTAATAGATTATGAAAGTTAATTTTGAAGCCTCAAGCCCGTCTTCAAGAATCTTCTAGCCTTTTGGATTTGATTAAAGTCTTGTACAAACTCTTGTTCAGGAGGATATTTTCTAGAGCACTTGGTTGGAAACTGAATTTTTTTTTATTAGATGTGGTAACAACGTTTTTTAACTGAAACATTATTATTCCTCGTGTTAAGTATTACTTGAATCTAGGTCTTTGTTAGCCATTCTTCAAAACCACGCCTTAACTTTGAAGTCTGCTTTGTATAAGTCAATTGACAAATGTGTTTTCCTCTATTTACGTGAAGCATGTTTATTTAAGATCATTGATTTATTATTTGTGATGACTAGGTGAAGTATAAGTGTAACTGTGAAAGATCCTAAATTTGAAATGAACTGTTTTTATAGGTTAACAGATTGACTTGGTTAAGTGAAGTATTAGTGAAAGATCCTAAATTTGTCATAAATCTATGCCAAAAATTTTGTGATTTATGAATGCAATTGTAAAAATTAGGAACATAATCATGTATTATGTTGTTTTCTTTTGGTATTCTATACTATTACTGTTTTATTTATTGGGTCGACAAACAACTTCTTAAGAGTAATGCTCAGCTAGACAATAGACGAGGTAAATGAAACTTAGATCATTTATAAATACAAAATCTAAATTTTTCATATGAATGTTTGATTGGACAGGACGCACCTATTTTGGACATAGTTTTTTTGTCCGATTTATGATTCTTCTGTGACTTCATATTTGCAAATTTGAGCAAACTGCACCTTTTTTTTTTCTTCTCGCCTATTTTTTCAGTATTGCTGATGCTGTATGAATGGTTAATTTAAACATTTGAACTCTTTTGCAGACCAGGATTAAGATCTGTTGTAACAGGGTACCTTCCAAGTGTTATACTAAATGGATTTATTTACGTTGTTCCTTATTCAATACTGGGGATGGCTCACTTAGCAGGCTATCCCTCAAAGAGTCAGACAGAGATGAAAGTCTGCAATATGGTGTTTTACTTTCTAGTTGGCAATGTTTTCTTCTTGACCTTATTATCAGGATCTCTCCTTGATGAACTTGGAGAATCTTTCAGTCATCCAGGTGATTTTCCTAGCCGATTGGCTCGTGCTGTCACAGCTCAGGTAAGGTTGTCAAACCAGTTTATAATGCCAACTTTCTTATGGAATTTTGTTATATGTTTCTCCTTTGATTTTGACACTACTTGATTTTTTTTACTTAAATTATTTTATGATGTCAAAAAGCGTGGTATGAGGGTGTACTGTTTTATTTTCAGGTATGAATAATAATTTTAATTAAATCCTAGTATCCTACTCTGCAAAATGCAATGATTTCAAACATGTATGCTCTAAATGTTGTAGATTCTGAACATCTCATAAGCTTAATTTGTCTATCAGGCTGATTTTTTCACAACATACATCTTGTCTGATGGACTGTCTGGTTTCTCACTAGAAATACTGCAAGCGGGCCTACTGGTTTGGGATGCCATAAAGAGACATACATTTGGTCGTGGAAAGAAAAGATCTCCTTATGTTTATTCTCTGCCTTATTTCAGGGTCATCCCTTTTGTTTGTCTCTGCTTTCTGATTGGCATGGTTTATGCACTTGTGGCTCCCTTGCTCCTTCCATTTGTGCTTGGCTACTTATACTTGGGATACGCTGTCTACATGAACCAGGTTAGTTTGTTCAAATTTCTCTTTTTAGCTGTAATGTAGGCAAAAGTGGAAAAGAGAAATTGTCTTTTTAATAAATAAGGTTCATGGTTTTGCTGCTAAATCTGGAGTTGAATTATCAATTTGCTTTGTTTTTTCCCCCTTTCTGCCTAGTTGGTAATCAGTTGAAACTTGAAATGAGGGAAAATATAAAGGAAAAGGGTTTGCTTCCCTTTTCTCCTTTTCCCTTTGGAGGGGGGGATTTGGGATTTGTACCGAGCCTAGGAGCTGTGCAGCCACGTGGGCTAATTACTTACATAAGGAGGGGCAAGAAGGGCCATGAACAAGGAAAGGGGGAACTAGTGGAGCAGCACATTGCAGGGGGCACAGGACAAGAGTATAGGAGGGGGTAGCTGGGATTCGTTTGGCAGCTTTTGCCGAACGAGTGTATATATATGAAAAAAGGGAAGAATGGCTAGGCATAGGCAGCTTTTGTGTAATTGAGTAAATTGAGAGACTAGTAACCTAAAATCACTCTCTTGGAAATTTGTGGCCTCAAGCCACTGCTTGTAAGAAACCTTCCATTTATTAATGAATGAGCCTCCCTTTTATTCCTCAAATCAATTTCTTTTGCTTAATCTCTTGCTTATTCTACTTGCTTGTGAATTAGAGTAGTAGTTTGTTACAGGATGTGTGTGTTTTATTTATCAATTTTGAGTGCACGCCATAAGAACTCAGCATTCACTTGGAGCAGCTTTCATTATTTGTAAATCGTATCTTTTTAGTTTCTTCCATTGATGACAGGCTCTATGATCTTAAGTAATTTCTGCCTCTCACAATGTAAGCTATATAAGAATCAAAGTGTTGGTAGATCTCTAGTCTTAGAGTTTATTTGATCTCATGAATACCTTGTTTATAGAAAACAGTTTGTCTAAGTTGCACTATGTTACCCATCACATCATGAGAGCTGTTTCTATGATATAACTCTGAACTGCTTTGCATGATTCATCAATCTTTGTAGGTGCAACCTGAGATTAAAAGGTTCCGAAAATTTTCAAGTTTGAGTGAGATTATTTAGAAAAACATATGAAGCAAGCTGATGTACTGAAAAGTGAAAACTCATTAGTATTGATGCCTATGGCGAGAAAGCTACTAAATAGTACAGTAGCTATTTCTTAGGCAATAACACAAGACAGGCTAATGCATAGCAGAGGTATATATCCTTAAGAAATCATGAAGGACAGGACACACACACACAGACGACTTTAGTGCTAGTTATAGGATTGAAGTATCAATATAATATGCAAGACATGCTGTTGTGTTGAAAAGGATTTTTGGTTGAATATCAGAAAACAATCAACAGCTTCATGAATTATTTTATGTTTTTTCTTACAATACTATTCAAGTCAAGTGCATAATTGGAATTTTGCAATCTATTCTTGTTGCAGATTGAGGATGTGTATCCAACTTTTTATGAGACTAGTGGACAATATTGGCCATACGTTCATTCTTACATCTTTTTCTCCCTCTTTCTCATGCAAATCACTATGATTGGTCTTTTCGGATTGAAGTCAAAGCCAGGGGCATCAGTTGCCACATTACCACTTCTTGTGCTCACATTACTGCTCAACGAGTATTGCAAGCTCCGCTTTCTTCCGTCTTTCAGCCAACATACTATCCAGGTGCTTGTGAATTTCAATTTAAGTGATTTGTTACTTCAATATTTCCATGTCCTTTCACTTTTTGGATGTGGAATAGAATTGCATTATGTACATAGTTGATCATTGAGCTATGCTTTGGGATTTTTTTTTTACTAGTATATAAAATTGGTCCATTTTGACTAGGCACATGCTGTACCATTTATTTTGCTGTTGGAGTGGACGCATGGTTATGGAATCTTACCTTAAACATTTGCTTCATGTTCGCGTATACATACTTATTGTATTAGAAAATTTAAATTTGATATTTTGCACCCATGTGGTCATTAAAGCTCCACTCTTTTTCAAGAGAGGGAAGGGTTAAAGATACTGCTGTATTACTTTGCCATTTTCTTTGTTAAAGCTCATTAAACTTTCTATTGTAGATTCTTAAGGAGAATGATGAGAGCGATGAGAAAGAAAGTAATCTGGATATCAACTCCCATAATGCAGCAGATGCATATCGACCACCTTTCTTAAGACCAGTTAGCTTTGCTGAAGAAGGATCAAGCTCTTCTCAGTGACCTGTCCAATTCTTTTGCTGTTGTTAACTGAATTAAGCAAATGAGCCCATCTTGGACTGCCTGCAAAACCTCTGTCGTAATCTGCTCGGCTCTGTGACTTTGTAGCTAATTGTGTAGGATATGCTAGAAGTATAATTATCTTCCACAACAGAATTTACTGATATAGCAGAAAGTTTAGTCATTTGTGAACATTAGCTAAGGTATTTTTGGGTATTTTTCTTGTATTGTTGCTTGATTGATTATAGTTTATCGATTGGCTGTTCACATGTTACTCTGGTTTTGGGGTCACAGAAGGTATTACAATTTTGACAGGCTGATAAATTAGATTAGTTTTTTAAAGGATTTTGATTATAGAAGATATTGTACATGTATATCCATATTGACCATATAGATAATATTTCATTTCCAAGTGTAACAATTGGGCTTGTATGCATATTAGTTGTACAACAATGACAATGCTTTATCACTGGCTATAATAATAGTAGACCCACCTGTTTAGGACAAATCTCAGAAAGTATTTTCGTCCGATTTGTTAAAGGTTTTAATGGGTTTAGTAATCAAATCTGTTAAAAGAAAATAAACACAATTTTCAAATGAACGAGTTAAGAGCAGTAAAATAATAGAATTATAATAATACTAATATAATAAATCAAAGAACAAAGATCAAAGTAAGAGACATTTTTGAGTAAGGAAGAGTGATGATGAATAATATCAGAGATTTTAGTATTAAAGTGTTGTAAATTGTACTCTTAGACTATTTGAGTGAATTCTATTATAAAGAGTATCTTATTTTTATTGACTTGTAAGTCCAATGAAAGTAATTATTGAAGAATATTTATTGTTTTTGGCCGTGCTGACGATATTGGTTGACACTTTTTTTTTAGGATATGTTGACTTAATTGATTGATATTTCCTTAATTCACTCCTTAAATATGGGACGTAATTATGCTTGTTGTCCAAGCTTTCATTACGCATCATCCAATGGTCCGAGTTTTGAAGGGAAACTCCCTTTCTCAAAAAGGCTTAGAAGGGCAATTGACTTACTCAGAAAGGTGTAGTTAAGTCTGTCCTGGTTAATACCAAATTTAGACTGTTGCATGGGTAATATTCCGCCAATCAATTGATTTGTTTCTTGATTTAGCTTTTATTGGTTTGATTCTATAGTCTTCATTGATTTCATAAGATCTTTAATGATTCGGTTGACTTCTTAACTAGACCAATCAAATCCTTGGTGATGAGCTATAATTCAATTGAATACTTCGTATTATTTTACCATTTATATTTCCTTTTTCAGCTCGTTTCCTTAGTATGTGTAAGTGAAGTCAAATTTCGCATGCTTTTAATTGATCCTTTGACTAATCTTTTCCTAATTTGTTGGCGGCTAATAATCCACTCCTAACACCACCCTTTCTCTTTATCTTTTGAGAGACTCAAGATTTTTCTACGTTTATCTCGGTGACATAATAACTGTAAATATTTTCATATTTGAAAAAAAAAACTTCATCTTCCTCCTTCCTGATCGTGATCCACCTACCTCCATAGGATGGTAACTACACACTCATCCCCGCCCCACCATACATGGCGAGTATAATATTCACATCCATCCAGTGGCAGATCCAGATAAACATTTAACGGGGTTAAAATACATTTGATAAATTTTAATAGGGTCATTTGATTAAAAAATAAGCAATTTTTAGAAGGAAAAAAATTAATTACATACAAATTATTTTTTCATGTTCAAATGTGGTCAAGGGACCCCACTTTGTTACACTTCCATCCGCCACTGCATTCATCTCTGCCCCAACGAGCAATTAGTATTAGGTATTATTGGAGTACTATTCTCATGGTACTCCAACGTGTTAAATGAAATAACACATCTTTAAAACAAAATAACATAAAATGTTGTGAGAGTAATAAACCTAAAATAAGCAAAATTTCAATTCCATTTCTCTCTCCACTATCTCTCTCCCCACCTTTTCTCTTTCTAATTTCCCAACCCATCATTTTAGCATCATCAAATCCTTCATTCTTCTAACAAAAACCACAAAATTTCATTTGATTATTATTTTAACCACTCAAACAAGCACAAAATTGTTCAAAGCTGAAAATCAATTTCAATACATAAAAAATGATTAAAGAAACTATAATCATGAACAAGAATGAGCAAAACAAAGTAAGTATATTTAATTTGTTTCGTTTTTAGTTTAATTAATTGAAAATTATACAGCTAATTTGAACTAAATATGTTAATTTGATTTGATTCAATCGAATCTATGTTATTTTTGAATTTGCCAAAATGTTGTGTTATTTTATGAAAACTTTATGTTATTTTACTAATTAAATACTATGTAGTTCTGCTAAAACATTATGTTATTTTACGCAAATCTTGTGTTGTTGTTTGCTAAAATAACCTTATGTTACTTTGCTAAACATTCTGTTATTTCACAATAACCATGTGTTATTTTGATAAATTGTAGTGTTATTTTGATAAATTCTAGTGTTATTTTGTGGAAGCTCAGCTATAAACTTGTGCTATTTCACACGAACCTTGTGTTATTTCACTGAAATCATTTATTGTTTTGCTAACAGATTATTGTGTTATCTTACTTGAACTTTTTGTTATTTTGCTTCAACTTTTTGTTATTTTCAAATGTATGTTATTTTTACAGAACAATACGTTAATATCCCTCTCCGAAAAAATAAGCTCAATTAATTTTCAAGTAAATTAATTTCTATATAAGATTTCTTCTGAAAATTCTCATAAATTTGTTCGATTCTTTTTCTCTTCTTTAATTAAAATCATCTTCATTCAAATTGTTGTTCAAATTTTATCACATTCTCATAAATATTAAACACTTAATTGATTTTCAGGGTTTTAATTTTTCGTTCTGGTTTTGGTGTTTTGAACAATTAGCTCTTCAATTCAACAAAATTTCTTAATAATAGAGTGATTACTTGAAAAATTTTGAAAAATAAAGACAAAGAGACGAGTAGAAGAACAAAAATAGAAGAAGGATTTTTTTTTTAATTAAAAAGCCAGTATTTGACCCCCGGAGTACCATGCTCACGGTACTCCAGGAATACTAAAGAAATTGCGCCCAACGAGTATAAGCTATTTTCCTTCCCCGCCTCACCGCCATCTTGGATATCCATATTCACCCCAAACCTGTCTCATACCCGCTATCACTACTACTATTGAGTAACTTACCGTTTAGTTTCTTAGGCGGGTTGCATAAATTATAAATTTTTCATTATAGTATCTAGATGCTTTAATCTACTAAATTATCTGTATTTTACAATTATACTAAACTATTTTACCGTAAGTTGAAAATAACTATTTTATTGTGAGACACTAAGAAGAGTATAGGGGAGGGCGGCAATGGGGCGGGTTTAGTCTAAAATCCATACCTGACTCATCAATTGTGGCATATACACTTTTTTATACATATTCCCACCCCATCACGTACCAAACCTCTTTCCATCCCTGCCGCATCGACCGGGTGGATATGAGATGGATCTTCTGTTTTACCTTACCCACTATCACCCCTATATGGACCTAGAGGTGTCAATTTGGATAATCGGATAGAGTTTGGGTCGGGTCTATTTGGGTCGGGTATCTTTGGGTCGGATATATTCAAGTCAAAATTATTCTTTTAATTTGGATCCTGTTGGGTCGAGTCAAATTCGAGTCAGATCAAATTCGGGTCATGGTCTATCGAGTCCGGTTGGATATGGGTCGGGTCAACTCCTGATCGGTTCATGTTCGATTCAGATAAATTCAGATTGGGTTTAAAACAGTTTTAACCGGGTTAATTTTGGGCCAGTTTGATTTCGGTTCGGATGATTTCGGTTCAGTCAAGTTCGGTTTGATTAGAATAAGGTTGATCTGTTGTTTCATTAATTGGTCAATTTCAATTCAATTTCTTTGTGTGTTTGAATTGGGTGGATTTTTATCGAGTTGACCCAATTCATATACAAATAAGGTTATTTTAAAACTAGAGTTATTATTGAGTTTTTACCTTATTAAGTTATTATTGGGTCAACATCAAGTTATTCATGTATCATATTTTTTATTGAGTTGAAAGAAGAGGTTTTAATATTCAAGTATTACAAATTATTTGTAGCAACTTTTAGATGAGACGAATATAAAGCTTAGAAAGTAATGTCATATAATTGGTATATACATGAAGTAAACTTGTTACTCCGGATTATTTCTTTGTAGTAAAAAAAGTTAACTTATTAATAATTATTAAATATAGTACGGAGTAGTATAAGAACTTGAATAAAAAGATCAATAATTAATTATGGTCGAGTTAAATTTGGATCGAGAAAAAATCAAATCGAGTTAAAATTGGGTCGGGTTAATATCAGTTCGGGTCAAATCAGATCGGATTAGATCGTTTATTTGCCGGGTCAATTTTCAGATCGGGTTGAGCTCGGGTCGGATCAAAGCGGTTTGGTTTGAGGTCAGGTCGGGTCAACTCGAATTTGGGTTGAGTTCAGGTCGGATCAAATCGGTGTCGTGTTAAGTTCAGATTGGGTCAAGTTCAGATTCAGAGTGAGTTTAGTTCGGTTACAGATCGGGTTTAAGTCTTAAATTTCTCGAATCAAATCGAATCACTTACAGTTCGAAACGGATAGCTTTTTTGGGGTTGTGGTTTGATTTTGACACCGCTATATGGGCGTCCTATAGTTGGTGACTTCACATTTTTATTGATTTACGAATCTACGATGCATTTACGGTCATGCTACTTGATAAACGAAAGACCAAGTTATAAACAGTGCTCCTTCATTTCTTCTTCTTCATTCTCTCTGCCCTCGCACAAGTACACAACCCCCATCACCTCTCTTACTCAACCGCAGCTCCCACCTCCGGCAACTACGCCGACCACCGAACAGCCACCGTCATTTCACGCTGCTTTACTTCACTCACTTTCTCTTTCTCTACGCACAGCTGTCTCGCTGCTTCTGACTCTTTTGTTTCTTTACAACTTCGTATATTGTAGAATAGCTCTGTTACTATTATCGTTGTTCTCTTCTTGCATTCTTATTCATACAATTTTTAGTACCACAATCACAAACACCCTCCAAAATTCTTCCCATGCTCACAAGGTGTTCGATGAAATGCCGCAATCAGATTTAATGGGTGAATGTCATTGAGGAAAGGATCATCAGATACCCTTTTTTATATGAT